GCAGAGAGAGAGAGACGCGAGCAGAGAGAGAGAGACGCGAGCAGAGAGAGAGAGACGTGAGTCCGCGTGTCTATGGTCCGCGCTCGGAGCCCAGACGGCAGTGCGTTCACTGAGCGGAGGATGTAACGTAACGTTCGGTTTATCAAAACATATCACAATATTTTTTCAGACACCTAGATTTTTTCAGACATTAAAGACAAGATGTTATATAATAATTGTTTAATGAAAAAACAATTTTGCCACAAGCAACCAAAAGATGTGCCTCAGACAAGAATCGAACCTGGGTTCTCCAGGTCCCAGTCTTTGATGCTAACCATTGGGCCAACATAGCACCTTTGAGCTAGACAGGTTTGCACGCAGTCTTATACCTGAGCGTCTAAGTCACTGGCAGAGCTAAAGTGGACTTAGCCTGCCACCTTGTGGCGATAAGATGTACTATTTTTCACGCAGCTGCGTGATTCCCGAGAAGCGTGAATGAAGACGACAAAACGGAATGGGACCTACTGTACATTCACATGCACGGCCCAGCCGCGGCCAGGGATAGGCCTGGGTAGGCCGGTTGCCTACCAGTTTTTTTCTTGGCCTTCCCAATTTTGTTCTTGGCCTCTCAAGTCATTAGACTTTTTTGTTTAAAGTCATAATTTCAATATTTTTATTTTTATACACACATTATCAACTAAATGTTGCGTTCTAATTTTTTTTAGAAAATATAACCCCCTGAGCGTCATCACGTTCCTATGTTGCTTCAAATATAGTTCCGTTTATTGGCTGAACAATTTTGTCCAATAAGCTGCATGATCATATCACACAGCGCTGTGTGAACAGCTATTCCTCCTCTTAAGGACTGACAATGCTCTCAAAACATTCACAACAGAGTATCCTTTTTCATTTTATTTTTAAGAAAGTTCAGCGTGAACTTCTTGAGGTGGCCCGTAGGTCCCAGAGGAGGAGAGCGCAGTCAGGCCAGGCTCGCCTCGCACATCTTAAAGCTGCTTTCAATATCTTTTCAAATCTGTTTTCCTTTTCTCCATAGCATGTCTGTAACAAAAGTTCTCATAATCTGAAGTCAGCGTATTTACATGGTTTTATGAAACAGAATTCTGAGAAAAATAGGTTTAAAGATCGACATTCTAAACATAATCATCACAGTCACATATAACAAAAATTTGAATTACTTTGTTATGGCACACTTGTTTTAGTCACTATGTTGTAGAAGATTAAAAAGACGTTACTTTGGCACCAATTAAACACACAACACTCATGAATTAGTCGAAAATCAAGAATGTATTGATTCTTTCAATATTCAATGGATTGAATTTTGACCTCCTCCTCTTTTTATTTCTCTTTATAATTTACTGAAAATTAGATGTGTATTAGACATTGCCAGTATTATTCTATCAAATCACGCAGTCTAAATATCCACAACCACCAAGCATTTTTAATGCAAGGAGAAACTTAGGTAACTTTAAACACAAATAAAACAAATGGACCTGTCCGACTCGAGTGTCTATGATCCGCGTGTCTCGCGTGTCTCCGCCTGTCTGGGTTCTGTCTGCGTATATGTAAATGTAAATGTAAATGTCTGTCTGTGGTTCTGTTCGGGTGTCTATGGTCCTGTCTGTGGTTCTGTTCGCGTGTCTATGGTCCGCGCTCGGAGCCCAGACGGCAGTGCGTTCACTGAGCTGTCAGAGCGGGGGTCACAGCAGCTGCTCCCGGGGCCAGAGCGGAGGATGTAACGTAACGTTCGGTTTATCAAAACATATCACAATATTTAACGTATAACACTAGTGAATTTCACCTAGATTTTTTCAGACATTAAAGACAAGATGTTATATAATAATTGTTTAATGAAAAAACAATTTTGCCAAAAAAATGACTATCGACCTATTTTTACTGTTTACTCGGAACGTGCCAGCGTGACATCCGATGGGTTTTCCCAGATTGCATCACATATATACGTTAATGCAATTTAATTATAAAGATTAACATTAGTACAAAATATGTATATGTTGTCTGTTATGCTCTTACTTTGAAAAAGCATTCAATAGCAACACATATACATTCATATGCACGGCTTGAACACACAGCTAATTTTACACATTTCCTTTTGACAAGGAAAGAAGATAACAATCTGATAACGTTACGTAATTGCACACAAGCAACCAAAAGATGTGCAACCAAAATTGCCTCAGACCAGAATCGAATCTGGGTTCTCCAGGTCCCAGTCTTCAATGCTAACCATTCGGCCAACATAGAATCTCTGGGCCAGACAGGTTTGCACGCACTATCATACCTGAGCGTCTAAGTCGCTGGCAGAGCTAAAGCGGACTTAACCTGCCACCTTGTGGCGATAAGATGTAATATTTTTCACGCAGCTGCGTGATTCCCGAAAAGCGTGAGTGAAGACGACAAAACGAAATGGGACCTACTGTACTAGCCAACATTTTTATTTTCTGTGCTACTGTGTTTCTTTTAGCCCGTTTTAGCCCGCTACTGTGTTTCTTTTAGCCCGTCCGTTTGTGAGAGGATCTCTAGAGATCCTCTCACAAACGGACGGGCTAAAAGAAACTTCAAGCGGAGAACCTTCAACCATTCATCCAGATGCACCCCATGGTAGTGGCAGTGCCCCTTCTGGTAAGTGTACCAGGTGGGGGGTTACAGCCAGGCTGCTTGGTTCTAACCCTGGGAGTGTATATTGCTAATATATTTTTATTTATCTCCCTAGAACGTGTAAGAAAGCCATGGTCTGCATCTGAGGTGAAGGCTGTGGAGAAGAACATGATGCCTTTCATACAGACTGGAAAAGTCCCTGGGAAGTCTCACTGCCTGGCCTGCATTAATGCCTCACCAGATGACCTTCGACATCGGACATGGAGTGGCATTAAATTCTATGTCAAAAATAGAATCACTGCAATTCAAAAAAATAATCAAAAATTAGATGTGTATTAGACATTGCCAGTATTATTCTATCAAATCACGCAGTCTAAATATCCACAACCACCAAGCATTTTTAATGCAAGGAGAAACTTAGGTAACTTTAAACACAAATAAAACAAATGGACCTGTCCGACTCGAGTGTCTATGATCCGCGTGTCTCGCGTGTCTCCGCCTGTCTGGGTTCTGTCTGCGTATATGTAAATGTAAATGTAAATGTCTGTCTGTGGTTCTGTTCGGGTGTCTATGGTCCTGTCTGTGGTTCTGTTCGCGTGTCTATGGTCCGCGCTCGGAGCCCAGACGGCAGTGCGTTCACTGAGCTGTCAGAGCGGGGGTCACAGCAGCTGCTCCCGGGGCCAGAACGGAGGATGTAACGTAACGTTCGGTTTATCAAAACATATCACAATATTTAACGTATAACACTAGTGAATTTCACCTAGATTTTTTCAGACATTAAAGACAAGATGTTATATAATAATTGTTTAATGAAAAAACAATTTTGCCAAAAAAATGACTATCGACCTATTTTTACTGTTTACTCGGAACGTGCCAGCGTGACATCCGATGGGTTTTCCCAGATTGCATCACATATATACGTTAATGCAATTTAATTATAAAGACTAACATTAGTACAAAATATGTATATGTTGTCTGTTATGCTCTTACTTTGAAAAAGCATTCAATAGCAACACATATACATTCATATGCACGGCTTGAACACACAGCTAATTTTGCACGGCAAAAATAGAATCACTGCAATTCAAAAAAATAATCAAAAATAAAATTCCTTTAAAAGAGTTGTTTGTTTTCTATTGACTGTTTTGTATTAAAGTAGTCCCAGTAAAAAAAGATCATGTCTATGGGTCCCATTCAGAACGACCCTGTCATAGGGACCCACCAGGTAACAAAAACGTGTGTGTGTGTTGAGGGATGGGGAGGGGTGTAGGGGGCGCTCGTCCTCCCAGCTTCAGGTGCATGTTCACACTATAGACTTTTGTCATCGCTGCTGGTGTGAACACAGAGAATCACTATCATAGAGATATTTGAGATATCTTAGAGATACTTTTTTTTATCCCTGCAGGAGAAATGCAGGCGTCCAGCAGCAGAAAACACATCCATATAAACACAGAAGTACATGAATTATAAACATTTCTAACTAACTACCTAATAATAGTGCATATTATTAACTCATACAGGTTTGTTGTACAGTCTGACAGCTGCAGTGATAGGAGCCTACGATGACTCCCCTGAGCGGCCATAGTGTCATGAATAGAGGTACATGTATATTAGAGATATAATAGAGATAACAGAGATTTTATACTTAATTCTTCTTATTACAGATTATAGACTGGTTCCTTATTATGCTAAAGCTAGAGATTTTATTTTATTTAGTAACGAGTTTAATAGAGTTATTTATCATATATTTATTTAGTATAGTTCTGAACTGGGGGAGGCAACACTGACATTTCACAGTGGGATAAATAAAGCATCTTTTAATAAAAACAATATCTGTTAAAACATCAACAGATTTTAAACTATTGTGTTTTTTTTCTCCAACAGTCTGTAATAATGACATGAGTTAAACTGAGAGAAACTCAGAAATTTAAAACTTGAGCCACATTCACAGGTTTCCTCCTGAGACCTTTTTATGAATCGTTTTTGAGAAACGCCCAAAACACAGATTCAAACCTGGAACAATACTTCGACAGAGTTTATGCAGAGTTTATTTTTTAAAGATATTTCAAAAGAGTAAATGTTTTAGACTTTTTCTGAGCAGAGTTTTTAATGCTAGAAGAAGAACATTTGAAGGTCTTTTATTGAGGTCCTTGGCTTCAGACCAACATTCCTGAGGTGAGTTTGGGACATTCCTGGTCCTGGTTATTCTCCTTGTTGGGACAGTTAGGGTCCAGCTAGAAGGACTGTGGTTATGATCCAGGATACTTTAACATTCTACAACATGTATGACATTTATCAACATGTATGACATTTATCAACATTCATGGACATTGGTCTCTCCCTATGGACCAATTCATATGTGTACATACAGCCTCAGTCTGACAGAGACCTCACCTCCTCAAACATGGCGTCTCAGATCCGTGTGTTGCTCCAGAGCTAAGCACAAGATCCGTGTGGGACTGAGCCTCGCGCCTGTAGCCTGTGGACCAGAGCAGCCCGAGCCGGTATAGTGCCTTCAGGGCGGATGTGGCCTGATGGCGTGTCAGGGTGAGCAGCAGGTCAGAGGCGGGTCGTGAGGACGGCTGTTTCTCATTCCCTTCTCCGACCTTTACACGCTTAATTACAAATGTTGTTGATGGGATCAGTTTACTGCACATACCTCTGCAGCGGGAGCGCGGTCTAGACGAGATGTGGCCAAGAAGAGGGAGTACTGTTCCATTCTACACTACTGAATCTACCTGTTTAAATATATATATATATATATATATATATATATATATATATATATATATATATATATATATATATAATTATATTTGTAGGGCAAGTTTATTTGTATAGTGCATAGTAAAAGTTTTAAATTCCAATGCACTTTACATATTTGTACAGCCCTAAATCACAACAGTTTTTGTCTCGGACCAACCACAGAGAATCAAAGACACACTGGTCCATGGGGAGTGGGATGAGCAATGTCCAGAAATGTTAATAAAGTTCCTTAAGTCCATCACTACTGTCCTAAGACCAGTGATGGGAACGCCGTTCTACTAACGCCGTTACTTTTTTTAGTAACGAGTAATCTAACTAGTTACTTTGACTGTAACTATAACGCCGTTATCATTTCCGACATCCCGTTACTGCGCGTTACTCAAGACGCACAATGAACTTCTCTTTTTACTTTGTGATAGGACTCGTGCGCGTGTTGTCATGAGAGAAGGGAGGATGAGAAAACCTCTCAGCAATTATTGGCTGATGTAAAACATATTTCCTTTACAATCTACATGTCTACAGTTGAGAGGATGGCTCATAAATTGTGTTTTTGAAACAAATATGGGTCTTAATCGCGCACAACCACGGCTTGTATCACCGTGAGGCCAGCCTCAGAGGAGTGCATGTGAGCGCAGAAGTCGGCTGCATACAATTCCATCGAAAAGCTCCTTTTACGGCTGCCCTATCATCACGGTCTTTTTTTGTTTTTTTTTTTCTTTTAATTTAATTTCATCCTCACCGTCTTTGCAAACTCCTACCCTGCCTGGTGGCCTGGTCCAATGAGCAAGACCCAGGCCAAAGCCAGTGTTGTGCGTGAACGAGTTCAAAAGAACGCGTTCATTGAACACGCTCATTTTTTCGTGAACGTTGAACTGAACGCAACACATTTTTTAATAAAGAACTTGAACGTGAATTAGTTCATATTATGTGTCATGAACGGCAGACAATTTGTTTTCCATTTAAAACTGAGTGAAATCTGTTTTCTCTTTTGAAACGCAACGAGAGAAAGTTCCCTCCTCCTGTATTCTCCGCACTGTTTCCGCCGAAAACTAAAAATTCCTACGGTTTCCACCGTCTATGAACGAACCCCGACTCAGTGTACTTGCGGTGCGGCGCTACAGTATATGCTAGTGCTATTCATTGGTTGTTGGACTCACATGTGCCGTGATGAAAACACAGGGGTAAGTCAGTGACACAGGGCCGTTTACATTTGACATAAAGTATAGACACACGTTCTGCAGCGCATTACAGTTTGTACTTATGAGCAGAGATGGGACAACTCAGTTCCCATTGAAACCCATGTAAATCTTGTCTGCATTGGAGTCAAAACATCCTGTGCAGTGTACAGGATATAATATATATAATATATATATATATATATATATATATATATATATATATATATATATATATATATATATATATATATATATATATACACACCACGTATCGTGATTTCTAGCTCGTAGTGAAAAAAAATATTTATTTGAATATCTCGCAAAAAGTAAAATGAACTGAAAGCTGTGAACTGGCACAACACTGGCCAAAGCTTTACTGTCATTGGGCCAGAGCAAAATTAACCAACAGTTAATTTTCTGTCAGGCCAGCCTAGCAGTGCACCCAGTGTAGCTTCCCCGGTTGAAATGAGTGGTCTCTCCAACTGATGGTTCATACACGTTTTTATTTGTCCTTTTATATGAGCTGTAACGATGTGATTTTACCTTACTACTTTTTTAACAATAATTGATTAGCTTGTTATAGTTATACACTAATGAACACTTAGTTCATTGTGTGTGTGTGTGTGTCTTTATTCTCACTAAACTCCATAAACGTTACGTTGCTAAGCAACGTACAACAATCCTTAAACGTCCGAGATTATATAAACAGTCAATATAAAAAAAAAAAGAAAACAAAAGTTTTGACAGTCAATCTTAAAACTATTAAAAGAACATCAAAATACAATGACAAAAACCCAAATTTAGAACCTTGTTTGGCCTGAATGGATGAAAAGCTCCCGGCCTGAAATGTTGTCCCACTCCGGCCCTGAAGGGCAGCAACAGGTTTGACTAACATACATATAACACATTTTAAGAAAATTTAAAATGCATTTAGGGTACTTTTTCAATGACTATTGGAATGATAAGAAAGAGAGGTGAAGTGTAAGATGGTTGATTTTAGATATTGGATGCACCCGGCTGCAACAAAACAGAGGAGTTTATGAAGGAGACACGCGTTTTGTTTTACTTTTTAAAACCCATTGGACTCATTTCCAAATGGAGGATTACATATCTACGCTCAAACTATTATCTGGACTTAAACACGGAACTGGTCTGAACTGAAGTGGACTGTGCAGGTCATTTATAAGGTAAGACCCATAACTCATAGTTTTGCGTTTTGTATGAACAAACAATGCGGGCATGAAACATATTCTGCTGCAGCCAAACAAATTGTGAATAAGCCGTTCTCTTGGTCCAGTTGATTTATGTGTTCATCTGATTGGGCTGAAGTCGGTGCTTCACCAGTGTTTCCACATTCACAGTGGCGGGTGCTGGTGTTTAGTGCTTATACAGAGAGAGATGAAGAGTGAGGAGGACTCCAGTAGCAAAACAGTCTTTTCTAGATGGAAATATCGGCACTATTTCAGAGTCACTGAGGTTAAAGGTAAAAATGCGCACCTCGAGTGCACATTATGTTCCAAAACAAAACGAAATACTAACGCAATAGTTACTTTTACTGGTAACTAGTTATTTTTATAGTGGAGTAACTCCATTAGTAACTCAGTTACTTTTTGGGAGAAGTAACTAGTAACTATAACTAATTACTTTTTCAAACTAACGTGCTCAACACTGCCTAAGACCCTCCTGCATCGCGAAACAATGATTCAAAAAAACAGTGGTAAAAAACCTTCGAGGAGCCCTTTATTGAAAGAGGGATCCTCTCCCAGGTCCGGACTGGCTAGAGACCGGGACTCAGACTGTAGAACGAGGACGTCCACCAGGGCAGCTGAAAGAGGCCAGATTCAGAGGTTTACAGAACATCTGTAGGACACTCATTATAAGCCTGTCTGTGTCTATATTGAGTGGTTCATATCTGAGAACCCCCTGCGGAGAACTGAGACTAATTAATGACCTGAAAATAACTCTATCAGCCCCAAAGACGGCGTCGTGACATTTACCTCATGCTCTCCTCTACTCCTCGGGGTCTCACTGCTGAACTACATCCAAGGATCATGTAAACATTGGTTTGCAGATGCTTTGGGCAGAAGAGACTCGAGCCCATGTGGTTTTTACTGTTCTTTAATGATGGGTTAAAGTGGGACCAACGCGGGATCTTGACTCAACAACACGTCAGGATTGTGCACAGAGCAGACAACAACTGCTCTAATTAATGAACAGCAGAAGTTCAAAGGTTTGTCACAGAAACCACCAGAGAGAGACACAGAGAGAGACACACAGAGAGACACAGAGAGACACAGAGAAAGACACAGAGAGACACAGAGAGAGACACAGAGAGATACGGAGAGATACACAGAGAGAGCTACAGAGGGAGACACAGAGAGACACAGAGAGACACAGAGAGCCACAGAGACACACAGAGAGCCACAGAGAGAGACACAGAGAGACACAGAGAGAGACACACAGAGAGACACAGAGAGACACATAGAGACACAGAGAGACACAGAGACACAGAGAGAGACACAGAGACACGGAGAGAGACACGGAGAGAGACACAGAGAGAGACACAGAGAGAGACACAGAGAGAGACACAAAGAGAGACACAGAGAGAGATACAGAGAGAGCCAGTGAGAGAGCCAGTGAGAGAGACACAGAGAGAGACACAGAGAGAGCCAGTGAGAGAGACACAGAGAGACACAGACACACAGAGAGAGACACAGAGAGGGACACAGAGAGACACAGAGAGCCACAGAGAAAGCTACAGAGAGAGCTACAGAATTGACCCTGGTCCACAAATGTGATGAGAAACAGTCTGATTACTTTTCAAGAGATAAAAAAGTGAATAAGAGCAGTGTCTCCTGTGTTTAACTCCATTTTACAGATGTCAGTTATTATGTATCCATGGATGTTTCAGTTATTATCACAGATCAATGGATGTTTCTATTATTATAGATCAATGGATGTTTCAAATGCAGCCAGCGAAAATTCAATTTGGTAGACGTTAACCAAAAAATTACCCCCTCCAGGCCGGCTCGCATCCCCAGCCTATCGCTCAGCAGACGCCCCCTTCCAATCATCTGTACCGACTCGCCAGCCGCATAAAAACGGAGAATCTCCCACTCTCGGCCTCTGAAGCCTTGCAAGAATCGTTCTGGAGGAATCGCTTTGTCTACTCACGCTTACTCCTGCGGTCCCTGCTGTCCTCTGTCTTGCTGCGTGTGGTCTGCTCCTCCTCCGCGTCGCTGCACCTGCTGCGGGTCTCGTGCTGTGGTCCGTGGGTCTTTGCCGCTCTCCTCCTTTGCGGGCTCTTTCTGCGGGTTCGCCGCTGCTCGTCTCGTCGCGGCCTGCTGCTGCATACGGCCGGTCTGGCCCGGTGCGGTGGGAGCTGTGCGCATCCCTGCCTCTCGTGCCGGTACGGCGTGGTCCCGTTGTGTTGTCCCTTGTCTTCTGGCGTTGTGGGTAAGTATGCGGACGGTTTATTCCCCTCGCATTGTACTGCAGGCTCAGTTCGCCCCGCGCTCTGTACTGCAGGCTCAGTTGGCCCCGTGCATTGGCGGGCAAGCTTCAGTTTAAAGCCCTCGCATTGTTCTGCAGGCTCTCTTAACCAAGCTCCGTTTAAATCCTTCACTCTGACTGCAAGCTCCGTTTATTCCTCACATTGGACTGCAAGACCTCAGTTTAATCCCTCACATTGGACTGCGTGCTCTCAGTTTTAA